ATCTATCAGATGAAGATGTAGACAGTAAACCTAGAAAACCTCTAGGAAAACTAGGGATTACCACAGCCCAAATAGAGATTGCTTCCTTTGGATTTCAAAGATATTGGAATTTAGAAATTTTCCGTGGAGCTTTAGGCTTTGCATTTCATTCCAACGATGTGTCTGGATTTCAGCAATTTATTGAGAGTCGAAGTCCTTCCACTACAAAAGGAGATGGCTTTTTCAAAGGCTTTTGGGAGCAGGTCTTTAACTGCCAATTTCTAGGTACATCTATTAATGAAGAAGTGGAGAATATTTGCACTGGGCAGGAGAACTTGGTGAGAGTCCCTCCCCTCTTTTTTGAAATGTCCATGTCCGGCTACAGTTACAGTATTTATAATGCTGTCTGTGCTATAATGTTGCCTATGCTTTACATGCCATGTCTACATCTGGACTCAGACATAAAACAGTAATAAATCGTGGACTACAGGTTCATAACCAATCATTTTGGCAGGTAATGTAGCATATAATACCTTGAATCTTAACTGAAAAATCTGATAATGACTTGCTTTTCTTTTCTATCTCATGAAATTATTTTTATTTAATGCAGTTTTGAAATTTTCACTGCTGGTCTCTATGGTTCTTCTTTGTTTTAATACGGTTCCCCAACAAGCAAGGAAATAAAAAAAAATCATTAGTTTTAAAATGTAAATAGAAATCAATAAAATCAATAATAATAAGCTAGAATTGAGAGGAATCTTGAAGGTCCCCAATTTTGCAATTACCATTCCATGCTAAGTAACCCCTAAAGCTTTCCCTGACAGATGGTGATATTAATATAGTGCAAGTTTATAGCATCAGAAGGAAGCTGTTACTATGAAAAAAATGAAAATACAGTATATTTGTCAATTCTGGATTTCAGTTTTGCTTATTGGGGATGGTGGGAATAAGAGAAAATCAAGTCTGCCAGCTAGATTGGAAAAAATATCTCGAGACCTGCTGTATGGCATTGATAAAATATATAATAGTCACAATTTGATTTCCTAAAGTTATATTTATAAGAAAATATAAATATAACTTTTTGTATAGTGCTTTCAATTAGGAGTATAACGATAATGTTATTGCTCATATAAGACATATGGATGCTGATTTCATAGACCTGTTTACAATATGACATTTATTTTCTATTTTGAATAAAGTGTGTTGTAATATTTAAGTCTATATAATGTTATCAAGTTATAAAGATTTATGAATCCATATGAGTTTTATGATACATCCTTTCCATTTCAGATATGAGTGACTGTTATGATTGCACAGACAAAAATTATCCCAACAAAAATCAGGATTAATGTATTCTGAAGGAAATAAGTTTCTTGTCTTACAAAGAACCTTTGGGAATACTTTTAGCTTGTTTTTCTCTTTTCTGTTCCACAATCACAGTTCTGGTACTAAGGACATTTTTGATGCATCACAACACTCCCATTGTCAAGGCCAGCAACCGGGATCTCATCTATATTCTTCTTGTCACCCTCCTGCTTTGCTTCCTTTGTATTTTACTATTTATCGGTCAGCCCAATAAGGTGACATGTCTTCTCCGACAAACTGGTTTCAGTATCATCTTCTCCATGGCTATTTCCTGTGTGCTGGCCAAAACTCTGACTGTGGTCCTGGCTTTCATGGCAACCAAGCCAGGAAGCAGGATGAGCCAGTGGGTGGGGAAAAGATTGGGCTATGCTTTTGTTTTATCTGGATTTTTCATTCAGACTGGGATTTGTACTCTATGGTTGTCCATCTCTCCTCCTGTCCCAGATTTTGACCTGCACTCAGAGCCTTGAAAAATTGTCCTACAATGTAAGGAAGGGTCCATGATTATGTTTTACTTTGCAAGGTGTTTTATGGGCTTCTTGGCCATGACCAGTTTTATAGTTGCTTTCTTTGCCAGGAAATTACCAAATACTTTTAATGAAGCCAAGTTCATCACTTTCAGCATGTTGGTTTTCTGTAGTGTTTGGCTCTCTTTTGTTCCAACCTACCTGAGTACCAGGGGGAAATATACAATGGCTGTGGAGATCTTCTCAATGTTAGCCTCAAGTGCTGGGCTTCTGATCTGTATCTTTTCCCCCAAATGCTACATTATTTTTCTGAGACCAGACCTTAATAAAAAGGAACTAAGAATAAAAATAAATTGCTGAATGTAGTCAAGTATTTTGTTTTGATTGTGCTATTATACATACAGCAGAAATACCATAGAATAGTTGACTAAAACTTAAATGGAAAATGTAGTCAGAATGTTATTTTCTCCTTTGTTTATACTTTATTTCTGCAAAGATCAATTGTTGAACTACTACTTATGAACATGCCCATTATTGTAACTTCTTATTAATTTAATGTTTATTTTTTAGAATATCTTCCCTTGATTGATTAGTTTTCTTATCTTCTTCAATGAATCAGAAACTAATATAAGAATAAGCTTGCAGCAACACATTAGTTACTGCTTCCATTCTGTATTCTCCAGATACAAAATGTATCTGACCCATAATAGATATTGCTATGTTATATCTCAGGATTTAAAATAAATTTAAAATACAGTTAACTTAGATGATATATTTCTTTCTTTGATTCTTAATCTGTGATATATGAACTTCTCAAGATGTAAACTTCAAAGAAGGGAACATTTTCCCTTTGGATATGGTACAACTATCCAGATATTGTAAATTGAAAAGAATGCTGATAAATTAGAAAAGTCTTCCCCAAAAGTGTAATAATTTAAATAGTAGTATTCAAAGATAAGCTATACTCAATTTTACAAAAAAGCAATGTACAATAATCCACATTTTAATTTAAGATCATTCTATGATTGCTTTTAATTTTTCCTTTGTTTTTGCTATTTTTATGCTTCTCTTGTCTTTGGAAATGAACTGTGAATGAATAGATACACAATATTATTTTCAGTCTTTAGAAAATGTTGCTTTTAATGGATATGAGGCAAAATACAAATTACATATATGAATTACGGGTAGTCATCAATCTAGACCATTCAAAGTTATAATGAAGAAATAATAGTTAGTGCAGGTAGGTATGTGATTTCTGCAGGGCACAGGGATTCCACAAAGAGGCCACAGTGGGCAAAAATGTGAAATAAAGTAACTACAAACTACAGGCAGGTACATGGGTACCACAGAAAATATATTTCAGTTCTGTAATTCATCCAGCTTTACTAAAATGGACTAGGAAGGAAAATCTAGAGTCTCTCTTTCTCTTTTTAAATGCTCCAGTTTCTGCAAAGAAACTTAGCATTATTTCCCACTGTAATGAAAATTTTACAAAAATATGTCTGAAAGTGTTTCCAAGAACTAATTTGGTCCAGGTGCTGATACTCATTCCTTTCATTTCTGCCAATTATGTTGAAAAGCTGATTAAACTTATGATGAAGTGCCTGAATATCACATCTAATGTAGTCAACTTTTGTTATCTCTCCTCCCACTTCTCAATTTCCAACAAATGATAAATGTGTTTTCTGTAGAAATTCCACAAAGAATACCAATTCTGAATAAAAAACAATTCCCTGTTCACTGAATTGATTTAAGAAACATAATTAAATTAGCAGATGTGAAACTGCTGCTGTTTCCACAAATTGTGGAAATAATATACTCAGTTTATTATGGCACAAATTTGACCTCAAGCAGTTGGAAATGGAGATAAGGAAGGGTGAGTGTCAATATGTACATCCATATTTAACCTAGAATTCTAAGTCTGTAGAGAATTGTTCTTGTATACAAGTGACTTTTATAAAAATGACAACTGTGATGACCATGGACAGACAGAAAAGAACATGCAGAAGGAAATGTTTTATTGGTCTTCAACATGTTAATAGCAATCATAGTCCTGTTAGCACTACTTCAGTACATGGCATACAAACCACTCACTATGAAATGCAGTGTCAAGTATCCAGGACAACCACTGCATAAATATCATCAGAATGGAGACTTCATTCTTGGGGGGATTGCATCTCATGGACTTTTCCTCTCATATGCTAAAGATTTCACAAAAAAACCTCTACCACCCTTGCCAGAAGAGCTTATGTAAGAAATTTATTTTTGTACATCATCCTAATTTTTCTTGTAGTGTTTTGTCATCTTCAAACTATAAAAAAAATATCAATACAACTAAAAGAATTTTCAATAGGTAGGCAGTTTTGACTTTGAAGTTTAAACATAACTTTGACTGTAGAGTTTGCTACAGTGCAGAAGAAAAGTATTTAATTTTTATAAATGTTATTTTATAGAAATATTTGTTCACTACCATGTATTTTTCTTCTAGTCAAAGAGACTCTTTCTAGGTCCAACAAGTTAACTTTTAAGCTTTTGAAAAACATTTTCTAATAATACTTTAAGAAAAGTCTTGAAATATGAATATGATAAAATTAAATCAATCCTCTTTCAAACTCCTGTATCACAGCAAGTTCCTTTATTCTTCAGACTTGGGTTTCAAGGCATCTTTCTACCCTATTCAAGTTATTTTCAGTTTAACAGTTCTATGAGGTACATATGTCAATTGTCTATATATTTACCAGTTTTTTTCCCCCTCTGATATATTGTCCAGCTTCGTAAGTCATAACATTTTACTGAAAATCTCTTTTCATGAGGTTGATTACAAAAAGTTATAATCTACACTCAAACTTAGAAAAATATTTTATGGTACCATCAATATGCTTAATATTACACTCAAGAGAAATAGTAACCAGTAATAAATACAACAATAATGCATTAACTTTTGGACACATGGAGCACTTCACTGACATTTAACACAATTCTCATTGTAGAATACTTCCAATGAATTACCAGCATATCCTTGCTTTGGCCTTTGCAGTAAAGGAGATCAATGAAAATCCTCAGATATTACCAAATATAACATTGGGATTCCATATTTATAATAATTATTACAATGCAAAATGGACATTTCATTCCACAATGCTACTTACCTATACACTAGAAAGGTTTTTCCCAAATTACAACTGTAATATGAAGAAGAAGCTCCTTGCAGTGATTGGTGGATTAGATTCTCTTACATCTCTTGATATGGCAATTTTCCTGGATATCTACAAGATTCCTCAGGTAGCACATACAGAAAACGCATTATGTTTTTAATTGTCATTGTTGTTCAATACCAATTATTCATTTTACATTTGAGAAAAAGTTAATTAAAAATCATATCATTAAGCTTCCCATTTTTAATAAAAGATATAGTTGGAACAAATTATTAAAATGAATTCTCCAATTTCTGAGTTTTCCACAGCATCAATCTAGATCTTTAAAAATCCTAAAGAACCGAGATGATTTAGATATGTATATTATGGATACAGGTTTTGCAAGAGGATGAAAACAGAGATTCAACTCCTCACAAAAACTACAGATAAAATGGATTTAGCTGTTGCAATGAGCACATAACTCTTAGCATCTGCAAAAATACATATGTTCTTAGGGAGAAACTGTTAACTGTACACTCTATTTTTTTGGATAATGGGAAAATTATCAAGTCCTGATTATTTCACAGATCATTAACCTTTTCCTGCAAAGTTACAACTAAAATGTTGGGGTTTTATTTGGTAAATAGAATGCCTGAAAAATACAAGACTATCTTTCATAATATTATTAAATCAAAGAGATCCAGAAATACAAAAATTGAAAGGCATTGAATTGGTGTCTACAATTATGTTGTGATATCTCAAGAAGGCAGAAAGTAAATTGAAATAGAGACATCGGACAATATAGGGAAGGGCAAGGAAAGACAAAGAGCTATATCTAAATGAGTAATAAAAGAAACTGTGTAGAACTAAATGGGAAGGACAAGAGATCTATTAAAAATGATATATTTTCAATATCAGCTTATAAACCTTAGCAATAATATGTTCAGCATTACCACACAATTGAGCTTTCAATTCATTTTTGCAAAGTCCATAGCTTTTTAAATATAATTTAAAACGTTATTTCAATTGTATATATGGAATCCAGTGATACACTCTTCTGATTCCAACTCTTCTTTGGATTTAAGGTTAGGTTCATCTTTTATTATTTGATCATAGGTCCAACACTCTTCTCTTGACATTTTGATATTTATGTCTTTTATTTTCTTATCCTGTCTAATAGCCCTATTCAAAGTTTCCAATGGCACTATAGACAATAAGCGAGGTAACATGTATTTTTGCATTTCACATAGTGAATTTCACATAGTGAATTTCACTTTTTGAATTTCACATAGTTTAGTTAAGTCTCCATTAATAATAATCTTTGCTTGTTGTAAGGTAGAAATCACTTTAACTCTTAAATAAATGTCTCCCAAAGTCCATACCTTCCAGGACTTTGAACATAAAAATGAAATTTAAATTTCAATGGTTTTCTCTGAATCCAGGAATATTAAAGCTGCTTATTTCCTATTGTAATATTGTAAGAATTCTATAATATTTGAACCATTGTCACATTATCTCTTAACTGTTTTTTTCCCTTACTTCTTCAGAATGTCTGTTAGGAAGGTAGAAGCTTTTTTCTTTCTCAAAATTCTCACAGAAATTTCCTTCAACACAATTATATCCACATTTCCAGTTTTTAATTAGACAATGGGCAAAGAATTTGGGATATAATATAATATTTGAACAATGGGAAATATGTGGATGAAGCATTTAAAAATTGCAATAAATTATAATTTAAAATATTTTTAATAAAATGAACACTGAATAAATTGTCAAAATGTTATAAAAGTATTTCAAATATATGTTAAAAATGTAAACATAAAGAAGGAACTTTTTATCTTCTATGGGGGACCTGTGACAAAGCAAAAAAATATTGAAGTAAGATTCACATCTTAATACAAAAGATTATTAAAGTGAATATCAAGATAAAACCAGAGACTTTTCTCTTAGGCTAAATATACAAAGAATTTGAAACAAATGGAATTTGATGTTATATATGCTGATAGCAGCAAGAATCTCTATGTGCAAAAATGGAAAGATACTTTAATTCCCAAAATGGATGACTTTTGGCAAAAGCTGATGGTGTTACTAGAGAGGTAATACAGATCTTTGTTTCCAGTTGGAAACCACTTTTGAACTTTGTGTTTAAGATGGGGAAAAAAATGAAATGTTGACTTTGGATTTTGCTGAGTAGACAGGTTTGTGGTTATAAAAATGGGTAAAAGGTGGAGGCTGTATGTTATTATCTTATTCTACTGAGCCGGGGATCAATGCTTTTTTCCTCCCTTCCTTCCCCTACATTTGTTCTCCTTCCCTTTTTCCTCCCTTCCCTTCTCTTTATTTTTATTTTTTTGTATTTTATATTTTGATAAACTAAAAAATTAAAATCAAAGAAGAATATTAATGCAATATGAATAAGACAAAGAAAGCAGAGATCAACAAAAAAGAAAGATATAAAAAATATGCAAACGTAAATAATTATACATTTACTAAGGATTTGTTTTGGTATGTTTTAGCATGCATTTGCTTAAGATTTTTAAATGATTTCTGACAGAGATTGCATGACATATACTTTAGGATTTACAGGAGCCTTCCTTCCTTCCTCCCTTCCTCCCTCTCTCCTTCCCTCCCTCCCTCCTTCCTATTTAAAAGCAGATTGAATGATATGCCTTCAAAGTTATTTAAAGATGGAATGTCTTTTCTACCTGCCTTAGCACAAATATAATTTGATCAAAATGATTATTAAAATCACATTGCTTTTATATATTAATTAAATTGCAATTATCATTTCATAAAATCAAACAAGAGCAAGGCTAAATTAGATATGTCTAATGACCATATAGTATTATAAGTAGTCTTCTTCCTAGAAAAACCACATTTCTCCGTATGAGCACTTTTTCCAGGTTCTTCACTAATTAGTGTGGCACATAATGAAATGATAAGTAGAAAGAAGTCATATCCAATATTTTAAACAGTTTGGCATACTTATGTCTACTATGCCAGTTCCTTTTCTATCCTTTCATCATGGATCTTTTTAGCTCACCTATAGTCCCACAACAGTGATGAAGGACAAATCTCCTGGTCTTCCCTTCTACCAGATGGTTCCTAAGGAAGACCTTCAATATGAGGGGATTCTTTCTTTGCTCCTGTACTTCAGATGGATTTGGATTGGGGTGGTTGTCATGGATACTGAGAGTGGAGAAAGATTTGTTCAAACAGTGATACCAATGTTTTCTCAGAAAGGCGTCTGCTTTGCATTCATACAAAAGATCCCCATTCCAACCTTTATAACGAATATGAGTTGGATGCTAAAACAAGGGAACATAATATATGATACACTGAGAGACAATAACAAGGTTAAGGTGATACTGGCCTACAGTGAATCACATTCCTTGGGATTTTTTAGATTTCTATCCTATTTATCAGATGAAGAAGTAGAAAGTAAACACAAGAACCCCCTAGGCAAAGTATGGATCACCACAGCCCAAATGGAGCTGACTTCTTTTGGATTTCAAAGAGATTGGGATTTAGACATTTTCCATGGTGCTATAGCCTTCACCTTTCATTCCAATCATATACCTGGCTTTCGTGAGTTTATAGAGAATCAGACACCATCTGGTGTAACAGGAGATGGTTTTATCAAAACCTTTTGGGAGAAAACGTTTGGCTGTCTATTTCCAGATACAGTTGTAAATGAAATAAATGTGAAACATTGCACAGGGGCAGAAAAATTGAAGAGCCTCTCTCCTCCAAGTTTTGAAATGGACATGTCTGGTCACAGCTACAGTGTCTACAATGCTGTTTATGCCATAGCCCATGCTTTCCAGGATATGATGACATCTGGAATCAGAGTAATGGTGGATGGTGGACTGCAGCTTCACAAACAATCATTTTGGCAGGTAATGTGTTCATCATTCTCTTAAGTCCTAATTTTCCAGCATAGAAACACAATAACTCTATTTTTCTTTCCATCCTTAGAATCATCCTAATTGAAATGAGTATTGCCTTGTCTCTTTTACAATTTATGAGTCATGTAAAAGTGATAAGTCATTCTAGTTCAAAAACAATTTCAATTTGTTGATAGTATCAGATTCAATTTGAGAACATGGTCCAGGAATTTTAACAATCTTCCATAACAAAAAACAGACTAAAGACATGGAAGAACTTTCAAGACTTTCTAGTTCAACCCACTGCTCAAGCAGGAAACTTATACCATTCTGGACAAATGGCTTTGATATCCTTAAACGCTTTAAATCTCTTTAAAAACCTGCAATAATGGTGCATCCACAACTTTTGAAGTCAATTTACAAAACTGATTAATTGTTCTCACTGTCAGAAATTTCTTTTTAGTTCTAGGTTGGATTTCTTCTTGTTTCCATCTGTTATTTCTTGTCTGGCCCTCAGGTGCTTTGGTGAATCAGTTGACCCCCTTTTTCTGTGATGGCCCATAAATATTAGAAAAACTGTAATCATGTCACCCCTAGTCCTTCTTTTCATTAGAATAGATATATCCAGTTCTATAACAGATAATAAGAGTTGGAAGGGACCTTGTAGGTCATCTAGTCCAAACCTCCACCCAAGCGGGAGACCCTACACCATTTCTGACAAATGGTAGTCCAATCTCTTCTTGAAAGTCTCAAGTGATGGCGCTCCCACAACTTCCGAGGACAAGCTGTAACATTGGTTGATGGTTCTCACTGTCAGAAAGTTACTCCTTATTTCCAGGTTAAATCTCTCCTTGTTCAGTTTCCATCCATTATTCCTTGTCTGGCCTATAGGTGCTTTAGAAAATAGCATGACCCCTTCCTCCCTGTGGCAGCCCCTCAAATATTGGAAGACCACTATCATGTCTCCCCTGGTCCTTCTCTTTACTAGATTAGCCAAGCCCAGTTCCTGCAACCGTTCATTGTATGTTTTAGACTCCAGTCGTCTATATTTATTTATTTATTTATTTATTTATTTATTTATTTATTTATTTATTTATTTATTGTTTGTTTGTTTGTTTGTTTGTCTGTCTGTCTATCTATCTATCTATCTATCTATCTATCTATCTATCTATCTATCTATTTATCTATTTATTTATTTGGTTTGTCAATTGCTTACAAGATAACAGGTATAAGTAAAAACATACAAGGATACATATAAGAA